TATCCTAAGGCCTTCATAAGCCGATGCCTACGTGCTCGCCCTCCGAGGACCCAATCATAACCAAACCCTACGATATGGCATGCGCTGCCATACATCAAGGATATGGCGGAAGCGACCGAGCATTATGCTGCGGGACTAGGTGTCAGAATTGCACACCGTCCGAAGGCCACCATGCGCAGCCGGGTCATAAAAATCAAGGACCGATTAAATCTCAGTGAATAGTCAGGCGTAGTGTATCGCGCACCATGTCTAAACTGTCCCCGAAATTACACCGGACAGACTGGGAGCATGCTTGGTTCACGAACATAGGCTGGCTATCAGACGGGGTGAGGCATTGTCACAAGTGACTACCCACACCTACGAGACCGGTCACGAGTTCAACTTCACAGCTGCAAGGATAATCACCCACGCCGGCAGCAAGACAGGTCGAGAATTGATTGAAACCCGGGCCACCGATGAGAACTCAATTTATCGATTTATCGATTTGGCGCCGGCATACATCGCCTTACGCAGGCATCTCTGGTCTGACGGCAATAGTGATTGATTAGCCCATTCCCCCTGTTTTTCCGTTGACTCTTTGATCTCTGACGATGGGCCCCAGGAAGGGTCCGAAAGCTTAGACTACTAGAAATATGATTCCGGTGATCAAGACGCCTTTTCCTTCTCTATTAGGCAGAAGTTTTACGATTCCGCAACTTCACCAGATCCAAAAATAAATTATACACAGTGTTTAATGTATTGCACTGTTTTAGTTTTAAGGAATGAATGTGAATGAAGTGTAATGTACCAAGGCGGCTTTAGTACTTCATGTGTACTTTTTCGATACTTACAAGAAAGGAGGGTGTTCCTAGTGGTCCAGGTCTGCTGAGCAGCTAAGAGTCGACGGAGCGAACAGTCGGCCACGCAGTATTCGGGCACTGATGCTCTGCTAAATGCAGCCTGCTCGGACTGAAGGCGTAAGTGTGCATGCAGGAACCTAGAGGCAGTATAAAAAGCCACTTAAATTCTTAGTAGCAAGCCGTGATGCAAAAAAGAAAAGCTAGTATTTACCTAAAGTAGCCCTCTTGCCGTTCACGCTCGAAGACAGACCGCGCAACCCAGGGCACGATGAAACGGTTAATGATCGAAAAAACTATAAAAAACACCAGAATAGATACGGGTCCCAGCCAGCCTGCCCTAGAAGATAGTTAGAGCAGAAGGGGGAATAAAGTACCTGTCCACAGTTTTGTATGTGTAAAAGGCTATTACGAAAGGGCTGAGAACAAGATCAGGTGCAAGGGAGGTGAAACTGGTGCAGAGTGAATCCACATCTTGAACGAACCGCTGATCGCTATCCAAAAAGCAAATTTGTTATATTAAAGTTAAGCTACGGATTATCGACGTTGAGGAAGTTAATGACAACATAATAAGCGTTTGCCCGAAAGTACAATGCATGAATGGCATTTGTGATGATTTCTCGCATCTCAATGGCCAGATACCCTGCAATGAGACCTTTCACCGAGAGAGCCTAAGACATAGAAATAAACGTATAGTTACTTACAAAGGCGTTACAAATGATAACAAGGATGGCAAAGAAAACTAGTTGAATGTATCCGGGTTGATCCCGTGTCGTTAAGACACCATAAAATTTGGATGATAATATGCCTGTTTGATATGCTACAAATTCACCTACGAAAAGAAAGCCTGTGAGATAAATTGAGAACTTACCGAGAGCGCCCACTACAATTAAGAGCACAAGGAAAGCAACTTGTCTCGAACAAAATGGGCGAAATATTATGTTTATGAGATGGCAGGTGCTCCGGAAAAACTTCCAACCAAAATTCACTCTAAAGCGAACAGTAAATTAAAGCGAACTTTACTTTCTTTTTTCATCATCGTCTTCCTGAATTATTTCGTTTTTTGAAAATGCATTCTTCTGCGGCCTTCTGCAACATGTCATTGTCTCTAGATTTATTGAAACACACAAAAAGAATAATTTGCGCTGTGTGAGGAAAAATTTAAAAACTGCACAGAAAAAATACCAGCCAGCCAGTGAAAGCCATATAAATACCCAGGAATGGGGAATTCATTTTGTGTATATATTCCACAGAATAATTGTTTTGCCTTTCAGATACTCGATTAAGCGTCAATTCTAAAAAGTTTATCTCCCCACTTTTCTTCCTCGAATCATGCACTACGTGCTAGGTTGGATATCGGCCTATTCATCAAGTTTACATTGAATCCACCCCTGTTAAGACATAGAGGTTTGATATAAAACATGCAAGGGTTACATGATAGACGGAAGTTTAAAGGGTTTACTCACGGCCACAAATACGAGGTTGTAAGAAGTAGAAACAAAAGAGAAAAAGGAAACCTTTTCACGCACGTTTTTCGGATGGTGTGGCCCAACGGGAATATTGTGTTTAATGCGGTATAATTGCCAAATCAGATCGACATATTTAGCTACACCTTAGCCACGTTTTCCAGCCGCGGCCGGTACTAGCGTAGGAGTTTCATTCTAACAAGCGTAGGTTAGAAGACATTACATATCACTTCACTAGACTCGACTAGTTGGACTAAATGTACATAGGTTGCCAAAAAACGAAACGTTGGCCTTCTCTTTGCAACTTGTACATGCCTGATCAACGTCTAGCATGGTATCCTTAATAGCAGTGAAATACGAATCGAATCTTGAGCCTCGTCTCTATTTCGATGCTGAAATTCGACCGGTTCCAGACTCCCTCGGATGTATCAATGAGGGCGGAAATAAGGTCGCGCACAGTTATCGGTAAATCGATCGGACGTTGTGATAAGTAGCGTGGGCATATTTTCCAACGCCCTTTTTCTGCTAAATTACGCTGCCATGCTGACACATAAACACCTAGACGTTGATATGCCCCCCACACTCAGTTCATTGTGTTTTTATGTTCTTTTTTCGGTACGTTCGGTGTGTTGAATAAAACCTATCAGAGTCGTTTAAAGCAAAGAGTTCTAGAAAACTTGGGCGAATTTGTTGAGAAATTGGAGGAAATGCGTGCGTCTGACTCATTTGATTCGGCATGGCTGCTTTCAAATCCATTATATACCACATGATATCCCATGGAAATTAGGGTCGTTTATAAATATATATACACGAATCTGCCAGTAAGTCGACGTACTGGTAGGGCTACAATTCAGAAAACCAATACAATAGAATGTTAACGCAGTTAACGCAGTTTACGCGTAGTGGGTAACTTAATGTCCGCCAAAAAACCTGGACAGCTGTCCGGCAACGAAAAATATTCTGATCTGAATATTTTCCGTCCTAACGATATTAAGATGATGCGAGCTTAAGCTACAGTCGTGTCAAAAAAACTATGAGGGGTCATGAAAAAGTCCAGTATGTAAACAAATGGACATACATTTCGGGCAGTATGCCGCCAAAGCAAACACATTGCTGCAAAAATAAACGACTTAAGAGGATAGTGTGGGAATAAAGCATGTAAATATATTTCTTACTGTTTCACGAAAGAAATCTCGGTGTGCAAAAACCAAGCCCGCAATAGTTGCCTTTTGTCAAGTAGTCTTGAAAATTATGAAAATGAACGAAAACTCAAGGTCACAGCTCGTAGCCAATTCTAATAAAATATTATCAAAGATTGAAACCTGGTCGAATGCTAAATTATACTCAACAAAGACCTATCTAGGGATACTTGGCAGTAAAAGAGCGAAATGTAGCGATATTACAAGAAAAGCCTTGTAGTACGAAAATAAAAGAATGATTAAACCTATACTATAAGAGTTCCGGAAGAAAAATTGGATTTTGACTGCGCGGTCCGACCCCGTCGTTCAGTCTTTACCCCACGAAGTTGCGCTCATAATTGCGGATCTTCCTGATCCTATACCAGCCGAGAAGCCGTAATCTCCAATAAAAGATGCTGTTATTCAGCGTACACCTAAATCGCCTGATAGTATGTTGAAGAAGCTTTTCAACGAAGTCGACTTGGGCTATATAATGCCCTCAGCTCTCTTACGCCGTATGCGTTCTCTGTTGGCTGATCGCAGTTAAGACGACTCCATACTTCGCAGATTATGGATGGACAAACTGTTATCCCCTATGTACCAGGTGCTGGTTCTGCTCGACGCCAGCACACCTTTCAATAATGTCGCGGAACATGCGGATCGTATTATGAAACTCTACACTAGTGGTACTTCCTTTTCGCCCGTTAATCAGGTTTCGGTCTCTCCCAAGAAACCAGATGCTGCTCCAACAGTCGTGTCTCACGTTGCTACTAAAACTGAGTGGGCCGGCAATCATTCAGCATCAAGTTTCGGGCATTGCTGCTTCTCGATCGGGTTCGCCCACTGCCGTAGCTATTAGCTCATCAGATTCACATAATATTGATGCACAGGATCTTAAAGAGACTGTACGGTTTTCTCTGCTCTCAAGTCAGCAATATGCGATCCACGATTAATCGTCTTCAATCGGGTCGTGGGCAATCTAGCTGCCTCCGCACTCAATCGCGCGATCGTGCATCTGAACTTTTCTGCTGCTATCATAGGATGTTTGGCTCGAAGGCACGTAAGTGTATTCCGCCGTGCAGCTATGCCAAGCGTTCCCTTCCGCGAAACGACCTCGCCAGCCAGTAATGGCAGCGACTGCACCTGGCCAGTCGCGACCCAGTCGCCTCTTTTACGTAACGAAAAAGTGGACTGGGTTCCGTTTCTTGATTGACACGGGGCCGAACTTAGCGTTTTTCCGCCTCCTAGGCCTCACCGCTAATATCCTTCGTAGTTTTCACTGAATGCCGACAAAAGCACCACAATTAAGGCCTACGGTCCACGGCCTCTTACATTAGATCTCGGACTTCGGTGTCAGTTTCAAAAGGTTCAGTTGCCTATTTTTGGATCTGTTTTTCTGTTGGACTTTGGCCTCGCTATTGATTTGAAGCACCAGAAACTAATTTATTCCACTGCAAGGCTTTTCATTGTTGGAATTGCTACACGTGAGCCTTCAGCCGGCATACACTTGGCCATTCCAAGCCGTCGTTTTCTGACATTTTGAAGGACTTTCCGTCCCTCGCTAAAATATGTCAGATTACTGGACAAGTTCAACGGGCAGTCCATCACCATATCGCAACTACCGGGCGCCTAGTCCTTGCTCATCCGCGTCGGATTCACTCTGAGAAGCTTCGGATCACAAAAAATGAATTCGAGTACAGGTGGAGCTAGTGGGTTATTCGGCCGTCGTCCAGGGCATGGGTCTCTCCACTGTACATGGTACCCAAGAAGTTGTCCAACGATTGGACACCTCTGAACTGAGTAACAATCCCGGACCGGTTCCCGATAGCCCACACTCATGATTCCTCCCACACGCTTTCGGGAAAGATTATATTTTCGAAGATTGATCTCGTGAGAGCTTACCATCAAATGCTGGTCGCCGAGAAGGATCTCCCAGAGGCTGCTGTCACGACGCCTTTCGGTCTTGTAGAATTTCTGCGCATGTCTTTCGGTTTGCGTACCGCGGCCCCAACGTTCCACCGTCTCTTTGTTGACATCTTACGTGACCTTCCCTTCACGTTCGTGTACATCTTCAACATTCTTGTAGCTAGCTCTTCATCCGAGGAACACGCTCAACACTTGCGCCAAGTTTACGATCGTTTTCAGCAAAATGGTTTAAAGCTAAACGTCAACATATGCCTATTTGGTATTACTTCCCTGGGTTTCCTTGGTCATCATATCGACTAACATGGACTTACACCACTTTCAGAGAAAGTAAATAAAATAACATTGTGTTTCAAGGAAATTCTTGAAATAACGTTTCTTAGGATGCCTGCCTTCCAGTTTATATGAAATGAAATTCTGTATTAAAGGACCAGGAGGCCCTTTCACAAAAAGCGTGCTGTCTTTTCCCGCTCCTCAAACAATTACGCAACTTCGTCTTTTCTTCGGCTTGATCAACTATAACCGCCGCTTTATTTTCAAAATATGCAGCGACTATGGCACCCTTGACTGATCTACTGAAGTCAAAATCTTAATCGTTACGGCCATCGGGCACAGTTCTTGCAGCATTTGATGCAGCCCAGAAAGCACTCGGGGATGCAACTATGCTCCATCACCTGAGTACCGATGCAGACACGCAGTTGATTCTTACCACTGGCGTCTCCAAAACTGCTGTCGGTACAATTACAACAGCTCAACAACCAGCTGTAGCCGCTAACATTCTTCTCACAGAAGCTACAGCCAGTGCAGCCTCGATACAGTACCTTCTCATGCGAACACCTTGCGATTTATCTGGCTATCCGACACTTTCACCATCTTGTGGAGGGCAGAGATTTTCCTGTCCACATGGATCAAAAACCGCTAACTTACGCCCTCAAGGCCAAACCAGATCGATACTCGCCACAAGAAAAACAACAACTTGACTATATATTGCAATTTACCTCTGACACACGCTTTGTTCGCGGCAGCGACAACGTTGTCGCCGATGTCTTATCTCGACCAGATACCACTGCGTTCAACTCGACGACGCTAGCAGAATTGCAATCACATGATGACTCCATCAATGAAATGTGTGCTTCTTATTTGCTTCAGCTCCGCGATTCGCCACTTCCAGCATCACCAGGTACGATCATTTGCGACTGGTCCACAAGTATCCTTCGCCCTGGTGTACCACGACCCTGTCTTAAAGTCTTGTTTGACCATTTTCACTCTTGGTCCCAGCCCGGCGTTCGCGCCGGTCGTAAGGTCATCTCGACACGTTTCATCTGGCCAGAGATGAAAGATGACACAGCGCTTTGGACTAGGCACTGCAAAGCCTGCGGAAAAAACATGGTCCAGTGTCATACAATATCTCCTCTAGGCATACTCGCGGTACCCGACGTACCTAGACCTCCACCTAGATCTCGTCGGACCATCGCCCCATCAAGCGTCTATACTCATATTTTGACCGCTGTTGATCACTGCACACAACGACCCACTGCCGTTCCCATCTCAGATACCTCGGCAGACAACATTGCCATGGTTTTGCTTTTGCAATGGATACCCAATTTCGGTATCCCAGCCAATTGCAATCTTTCCTTGTACGTCAGTTCAGTAAATTACACGGGTGCGCACACATGATTAAAACCGCGTATCACCCTGCATCCAACGGCCTCGTGGACCGTTTACGTCGTCAACTGTAGTCTGTGTTGATGGCTTGTTCAAATTCGACCTCACGGAACGACAATCTGCCGATTGTACTCTTGGATCTTTAATCAGCTCTCAAAGAGAGCATTCCATGCACTGCCGCAAAGCTTGTTTACTGTACCCCTCTTCGCCCGCCTTGTGAATTCATACACCACAAGGACCAGGTAGGATTCCCGCTTGTGCCGAGTTAGGTGCTTGTACTCCCGACCCCACCAGAAGCTCTGACATTGACGCTTTTTATGAGCTTCACGCCGAGAGTTATTTGAAATTATTAAGTCTCACATAAGGCTCATGAAGGTCTTTTGGATTTGCCAAATTTCTGAAGGATACTGAAATATATCGAACAAGTCTTGTATTCACAATAGCTATTCATCAACAGTTTAATGGTTTTATCAGCCTAACTGCAGCTGATTTGGCGTCAACATTTCCCTTTTCCTCCTTTAGTTTGTCTGTCCCTTTACCCGATCTCAACCTGGAACGAACGCCTCTGGTTGAGAACCTTTCTATTCAGGAAAATGATTCTTCAGATGATGCCCAGTGACTGGATAACCGTTTTCTCTTATCATATTCAGAACCGCCGTACATTTTTCTTAACGAAAAACAAAACTTGCTGTGTCACAACAGAATTTTCTAATGTTTACTCAATCCCCGCCTTAGATAAATCATAACAGCGCCTGTAATTCAGTGCACAATGTTATTAAAAAACGGAAGCAACACACATTTTCGTTAGCTACGTGCAAATGCACACTGATGTACACACTACTGTCGAACGATGAACGAATAAAGTTAATATTGCAATTAGTAAATTTAATTTATGGTAAGAAGACTTGACAAAGATTTTCGGACCGTGAACTTAGGGACAGCGGGGAGAGATGCTACGTAACTTAGACCATTTAATAGGGGACCAAAGACATATGAATAGCTGAACACGAGTCACTCCGACACATTTTGTAACGAACATCTGAAGGTTCCTTATATGCATAACAGCATACAGCACTTTTAATTCATGGTACTATCACGTTTCCAAAATAAAACTCCATTTTATCGTCTGCAGGCTCCTGCACGAATTTCTTTTCGGAGATTTCTAAAAACTACGATGAGTGTTGGAGGCATACAAGATACAATAGTGCGCCTAACGTTTTGACGGTGCCAACTGAACGCGCGTTTTTTGAGCTGGTTTGTTTCGCGTCGTTCAGTAGATCGAGAGTATGCCGGCGCCCAAAGGAGACTCGATGCGCGGCTTAGCCGTGTTTATTTCTGATATACGTAACTGCAAAAGCAAGGAGGCCGAAATTAAGAGAATAAACAAAGAATTAGCCAATATCCGGTCAAAGTTCAAGGGTAAACCACTGTTTTTCCAAATTCCGGATTCACAAGCGTTGATTTTTCACTCATTAGTTTGCATTTTTTATGCATCTGATTAGACGTCAAAGCTCTGGATCGAATCATGGATTCATGCGAATTTCATAGAAGTCACCTTGTAGTCAGATCCACAGCATAATATATAT